ATTGCTGGGGTTGCACTCACCGGTGCGCCTCTGACGTAGCGATTGCAGTCAAAAATGTGTGGCTCAGATTTATCATGCAAGAAGTTTGCGTCTGACAGCTCAACTTTTGCCAACTCCGCCAATGCAGGTTAGAGAATGCTGAGCGTCCACTCATCCGCAATATCAGTGGGAACTTAGGCCCATCAATGAAGAAAGACCCAACATCCCGCACTGGACACAGATATGAATATAGCCATGTGGCCGCACCCAACACAAGAATCCAACCTGTCCCCGCAGCCATCCGAAGCTCCAGTCAAACAAGGCAGGCGCTGACTTCCAAAAAAAAAGACATCACGAAGGGAGAAGATCGTGGGAACCTCACTCCAGGGAAACAGCAAACGAGCTTCTCCAGCAGCTCGGCGACGCCTGCAGCTCCACGAGGTCTGAAAGCTACAGGCCGCTACATGCCCGGTGACCCAAGAAGAAGTGTCAATGACGGGGAAGGCTTTGAATTCAGAGGTGAAACCAGTGCTTGTTATATCCAGCGTTTGATGATGCTTTCGGCCTTCCCAAGCCTTTCGAGATTCTGATGTAACCTCTGCTGAACGCGTGTCTTGCCTCCAGATTTGCGGACCGGCCTACCAGAGGGCCTGTTTCGAAGACCTCTTGAAGGCTTATCTGCAGGGTTTGACTCGCTGGGAATGTATACCAATCTCGGAAGAATGTCGCTTGCAAGGCACAACGAAGCTGCTGCTCGTAAAATCGTGCGCAAAGCCCTTGCTGAGCTCCGACCTTTTGCTGCCGCGCCAATCACTGCTTTGGCATCAATGAGGAAAGGGATCTTGCGGTGATGCTTCCCAGACTGCCGAGCCAGCCACCTCAACGCCAAAAGGTATGCGTGCGCCTCCAGTACACCAGAGTGCGCTGTCCATTTAGCTTTGGCTGACACGACAGTTTTGAAAGCACGCTGTGTGTGAGGCAACCGGTGTGGGCTTCCAAGCCTAGCAACTTCTGCCGGGTCTTCCCTGTCAGGAACCAAACGCACGTAATCACCTCGACGCTCGGCCAATCGGCAAACCTCGCTAGCAGTCTTGAAGTCACAGTTGCAAGCGCTCACGCCGAATCCATACTCTGGAGCAGCATCGGTTGAAACCAGCATTTGCAGCGGCTCCCGGTCCAAGCTAACTGCTAGCAATGGCGCCAAAAGAAGGGTGACTAAGATTTCATTCATCGCATTCTCAGGCACCTGTTCAATGCCTTGTTCGGGAACCCTTCGCACGAAAGAATAAACATCATCAAAAATGCTGAAAAAGCTTCTTTGGAGAAGCACAAACCATTCCCAAACTCCCAGCAAACCGTGGAAGGCTCTTGGGCTTGCCCTTCCACGATGCAGCACATCTAGGGTCCGACCAACTGTCTTGAGGATCTTGTCCGCATTTGGCTCAGCTGTTACTGGACCATTTGACAAATCACAACCAAGCGCAGTGACACTTCCCTGCAGCGTAACATCTTTCGACCTGTTCCTGACGATCCCGTGATTGTCGAAAGCCTCGTCCAAGTTTGACAGAGTGCGGGATCCTTGGCCAACAGTTTTGTGCATAAGGACAGTGTCATCGGTCGCCACAAAGCAAACTTCATCATAGGAGCTAGGAAGAGGATAATCCGGTGAGAGGATTGAGTCCTCGTCTATCCCTGCAGCAACACATGTGGCCACGGTGGTGTTCTGCGCAACGGCCGATGACCAGGAGAAACCCATGGGCCACACCGTGTGCACCGGGAAAAGCACAGATTTGCACGCCAAGCTGTCCCCACCATCCTTGTACGCGAGGATGTTGTCGAAACTAAGCCCGGCATCAAGCAATTCCTGGACAGTCACCGGCGCCTGCCCGAACCAGGTTCGCAACTCTTCTGGCACGCTCAGAGAATCAAAGAAGGTGGACGCGTCTCGCTTAGAGAAGAAGATTTGCTCGCCACGCTGGATTTCAACATCCAAGAAAGAAGAAGGATTTGCAAGTCTGTATGGTCTGGGCGGGTCGGCTGCCCAGCCTGACAAAACAGAGCCGTTCCAAATCTTTCTCTGGCGTCCACCTGCCTTCGCGACTCCAAAGACTCCGCCAAGGCCATGAGCCTTTGGCGCCAGTCGAAGCTTCCCACACTTGAGCTCTCGAACCACCAAGCGCACATACTCATCACGCTGATCAGCCTTGACATTCTCCACTGGCATGCGGCTGGGGCCTGCAGGGAAAATCACTGTCGGATCTTGGACTGCATGCGCCAGCTCTTTGTGGATCAGCTTGCAAGGGTCACAGGTAGCTGCAACTTGTGGCAAGTCCACTGCTTCACTACGAATGCTTGCACAAGATGGCACTGCATGAGCTTCACAGTCTTCGAAGCTATCCCTCCACGCAAAATGTGTTCCAGCACTCGCATTGAAGCGGAGCAGAAAACGAACCACTCGCCTGCAAACATGGCGTTGCGTCTCCAACTGGGCAGCTGAGGGGGACCTGCGCATCACTGTCGGTCCCACGCTGGCCTTCATTCCAATGTTCAAGAAGTTCAAGGCTCCAATGCACATGTTGCTCATGCTCAAGCAAGTCTCCTGACAAATGGCCAAACTGTTGATTTGCATTGGCCACTCACGTAGTGCCGGAATGGGAAACAAATCCCGCAAGCGTGCACCGCCGACAGAAGTACTACAGGGCTCGTGCCCCCACCACTTTCGAAAGAAAACAGCACACCCCAACCTAGAAGTGTCCATGAAGTCTTTCATTGTAGAGCACAGTTGGTCCGCAGCCGTCCGCTTCCCTTCGCTACCAGCATCTGTCTCAAGAACGCCTCCGTTTTTGTGGGAGAGCATTGAGTGCATCAGAACGGGGAGAAGGCAGGTCTTCAGCTTGTGCTTCAACTTCAGACATGTTGCTCGCCATTGATTTCGCCTGCTTCTGGCAGGAGATCCTGACCAAACTGCAGTCATCTTGTCCAATCCCTTAGGGCGGTCGAAAACTGGCAAAGGTCTAGGCCCCTTTGCAAAGCAAGGAGCCACTACACAGCGGGAGAGGCAATTTGAATTTGCCTGCCCATG